ATTACTACATTAATATCAATAAAATTGTAATGAAAATAAATACATATTGGAATATTTATAATTAAAAATATATAATTATGATATTTATAAAAACCATTATAGTTACTTTGTTATTATTTTATTAGTGATATGTTATAATTACTAAGGACATCCTCATGTTGAATTGATTTATTAATTCTTTATTGTAAATTTTAATTTATAGATACATTTAATATCACCTGTAATTTTTAAGAATTTGAGTTTTTAAAAGTATAGTCATAAAATTTGTATATTTTGAAATAAATATTATGGAATTTTATTTTATAGAAGATGTCATTTCTATTATATACTTTCTTTATGTGTGATTAGTAACCCCATGCTTTGAATGTGATCAAGTATTCATAAATGCCTCGTATAAATGGTTGGAAAAATTACGTAAATATCCGTTTTAGTTTTTGTTATTATCAAAATATCAACTACTTTTCGTTATTACTTATATGTCCGTTTTTTGAGCTTCCATAATGATTTTTTTTTAAAAGAGGCGAAACTACCAATTTTCTGTTTTTCAAAAACCTAAATCAGGCCAATTTCGGTTTTTGAAAAACCGAATATTTTCGGTTTTTGAAAAACCGAATATTTTTTATTTTTGAAAAACTGAATATTTTCGGTTTTTCAAGAACCAAAATTTTTTCTCTCTCGTGGGTCCTATGCATATTCTCTCTCTACCTCTCTCTCTCCCCCACTATCAATTGGGTAAGTGAAATCCTCGGCTTATATTTTATTTTGATGGCTTGCAAATTTTAACCTATAAAATTTAAAGTTCAAAAGCAAAATGAGGAAAAAATAAATAAAAAGATATAAAATTAAGAAAAATAAAAACCCAGCTATAATTTCTACATTTCTTTTCCTATCTATGCCAAATTTTTCCTAAAATAAAATCAACAACACAAGAACCTTGACAAAGCAGCAAAAATGAGAAGAGAGAGATAAAAGGATCACCCATTCCTTGATAACTCCATGAAAAGAGGCCAGGCTTGTAGGCCCAAAAACTTTGACTCTATCCCCAATCAAGTCCCCAATTGAGAACCAAAATGGGCTTTATTCGCCCATTCCTCATATAATAAGCATAGGATTCGCCCAATTCATAAAATAAAATTGTATGGTTTTATACGCCAACCCCTTGAACAATCTCTGTATTTTGGTATTACACGACAACCCCAGAAGTAATCTCAACGTTCTTCATCAATAAATAACTCGATAGGATCAAAATTTTGAGCTTCAACTAGAGCATTGTCATCGCTTAGGACCAAGATTTTGATCTTCCAGTCTCTGTAATTAGTTTTTACCATAGAGAAACGATCATCCCACCTTACAATCCAGGAGTATTTCACAGACCATGAAAATAAAATATAGGCTGAGGATTTCACTTACCCAATTGACAGTGGTAGAGAGAGAGAGGAAGATAGAGAATACCCAGAGAACCCACAACGGATAAAAAATTTCCATTTATGAAAAACCGATTTTCGCTTGATTCGGTTTTTGAAAAACTGAAAAATAGGTAGTTTCGTATTTTTTTAAAAAAAAATTGTTATGAAGTCAAAAATAGACATATAAGTAATAACGGAAAATATTCGGTATTTTGGTAATAACAAAAACTAAAACGGATATTTACATAAATTTTCCTAAATGATTTATTCCTTCCAAATACCATTTTAACTATAATTTTTTAATTTTAGAGTTGAAGATCAACCTAAAAAAAATGCCAGCATTGAAGATCCATTTGAACTTGGACAAGAGTTAATGGTAATATTTTCGCTTTCAAATTAGAAAATTTGATTTAGAGCTTTGCTATTAATTTTAACTTTAACATTTAGAACTTTGCTATTAATTTTAACTTTAACTTGGAACATTGGAAGAGACTGTTGATAAAAAAAACCGATATCTCGTGAATGTTCTTTCCATTTATTTATTTTTATAGTAAACCTTTCCTACATTTCTTTTCCTTTAGGCTTCACAAATATCTTTACTTCACCATTTCAAAATTAGTTTTCATACATGAATTACTACATCAATATTAATAAAATTGATATTAAAATATTTATAATTAGAAACATATAATTTTGATATTCATGAAAAAATCAAAATTACTTTGTTATTATGTATCAATAATATGTTATAACTACTAAAAACATCCTCAGGTTAAATTGGTTTATTAATTCTTTTTAAACTTGTCAATTTATAACTATATTTAATAGAAAAAATTTCTATAGAGCCAAGACTCTAAACAATCCAATGAAAGCCACTAGAAGATGTTTTGATGCACATATATCCTCAAATTGATCATCTCGACATCAAGATGCATGGACATGAGAAAAAAATGGATTTCAAGTGGACAGTCAATTTTCAAGTTTTCATAGATCTGTTCGATCTACACTATTTTTTAAGATTTTAAAATTTATATTTAAAGATAAAATTGTATTTTAAGGCTATCACAGAGACTCTCAATATCAAAACCACATTTCTCAACACTATTTGAAGGTGGGCTTTACTTTGATTGTTTAGAGCCTCAACTCTATACAAACCGCGCCCATATTTAATATTACCTATAGTTTTAAAGAATTTGAATTTTTAAAATTATTATCATAAAAATTGTATGTTTTGAATTGAATATTAAAAATAATATGTATTTGGCATTTTATTTGGTAAAGATTCTTTTTTTATTACATATTTTATTTGTTTGATTTGACCTATGTTTTGAATGTGAACAAGGCTTCATACATTGCATGTATAAATGCTTTATTCCAAACACCATTACAACTTCAATTTTCAAACTTTAGGGTTCAATATCATCCTAAAAAAAACTGTACTTCAATATCATCCTAAAAAAAACATTTCAAATTAGAAAATGGGAAGAGAAATAAAAGATTTAGTGCTTGCTATTAATTTTAGAAAAATTGTTTTATGCGGGCTGGACTGCATATGCGGTCCCAAGGTATAATGCATCCATTGTAAAGATAGATGCAGATAGGTGGCTTATCTAAAAATAATTGAAACTAACAGTTCAAAGGTTTTCTTCATAAAATCATTAATTTTATTTCTTAATATTTTATTTTTTAATATATCATGATCACTATGTTAGATTACATGCATTTAAAAATTGGTTATGAAAATCCATCTCAAAAAAATATTTTTGAGAGTCAATTCATTTTACATGGAATCTTACAAACGGTGTCGTTAGTTTTAACTTTAAATTGGAGCATAATTTTAACTTTAAATTGGAACATAGAGAATAATGATAAATATACTTGCATTCACCTAGTAAAAAGAACTAATATCCCCTCTAATATTTTTTGCTATATATGTTAAAAAGTAAAATAATGTATCTTACCACACCTTATCTTGACTGTCAATTTTCAAGATTTTCATGTGTTTATAGATCTACTTGATTTGAACCATTTTAGAGTTTAAAATTTTATAATTACATATGAACATAGATTCTCAAACCATCCTAAAAACATTTTATATCAAAATTACATATATGATAAAATTTAGAGATGCGCATTAATTGAATTGTTTAAAGTTGTAACCTTATGCAAACCACATCATTATAAAAATAACCCTATATCCCATAAATATTATTTAAATAAGAATAAATTTAAAAATAAAACTAATTTTGGGCCATTAGATATGGCCTAGCGGAATGCCAACCGTTGGGAGGGTGCACAAGCACACTTGACCACAATACATATTGTGAAAAATTATGTCACCAAATTTCTTTTTGGCGGTGTTCAAAGTTACAAACGTATTCCAGATCAGCAAGAGGTCTTTCTTCCTCTCAAAATTCAAAATCAAGAAACTCTAAGTTTACTGGTTTTTATAGCATTTATGAGTTTCTGTCCCTCTCAAATTCAAAATCAAGAAACCCTAATTTTACTGGTTTTTATACCATTTTGATGAGTATAAGTTCCACGGATTCTATAGCTGGAACTCCTCTTCCGTTGCTATCTTTACCTCCTTAATTTTACCTTGAAGCTTGAGGTTCTGTAGAGGTGGGATTGTGTAAATTCTTTGAATTATTGAGCTCAAGCTTTTCTTTCCATATAACGAAATCCTAAATCCTAACATTTTAGATTTCAGGATTGGATCTGCCTGAATTTTGAAATTAGATATTCTTTTCTATATTAGGAAACCCTGATTCCACTCAGGACTGTGACGCTTTGAAAACAGTAACATGAGCTTATGAAATGTCAAATTCCTTTAAAGAAAACCATTGTGTGTAACTGTTTCTTGAGTTAGGGTGAATAATTCGCCCTTGAAGCTTTGTGAATTCACCGCCTAACATGAAACCAGCTCTCATATTTCCAGAATGCATTCGTCGAAGATAGCGGCAAAGAAGAAGAGGCGAGAAAGCGATGACCAAAAATTTGATAGAAACGTTCACCAGCGCCTCACTAGTGTATTGGAACTTGGAATGAAGTAATTTTATTTCTTTTGGGCTTCTCTTTTTTCTTTCTTTACAGCGTTTTACTCATTCCCTTCAATTTTATTTGCATATATATGTTTTGTAAATTTTTCTGAGGTGTTTTTTGTTCTTATGTAATATTATTTGGTTGGTTTGTGCTATAATATGTACAATTTATTAATTCTCTATGAAAAAGTACTCACGTAATAATCGGATCTTATTTAAGGAAAATAACAAGTCTTTTGACTTCTTCATTTAGTAAAAACGATTTTGAGAATAGCTGTATAGTGAAAAAATGTTAAAAGATTCCCAAGATCTTTGAACAGAAGGAACTGCAACTCATTGGTAAAAGACATGCTCAATGTGTTGTGTTGGAATTTATGGAGAATTGGTTGTAACTAATTCCCAGAAAGAACACTAAAAAATATAATGTATAATGCACAAATCCTTCAGAGAATGTTGAAAATTAGATCATCTCATAAGATTTCATAGGCAACAACCCAATGGCTCATTACACAACGAGATTGAGAACAAAATAACAGTCTTAAATAATCTCACCCGATCAATTCATTTAAGGTCTTGGTACATGGATGGAAGATAGAATACTAGGTACCCACGTAAGGACAAAAATAGATCCAAGTTCAGTTGGTAAATATGTAAAGGGAAAAACTTTCTAAAGATCCACCGAAACATTAGATCATGATTTTCCGCCAACTCAAATTTTGAAGGGGTAAAGGACCCATAAAAGTTCCAAATCACATGCAAATAAGACCTGATTTGAAGCTTTAAAAAAACTCCAAATCCCTTAATTCCACGGTGCATTCAAAATGGCTGCCCCACACCTAATTTGGTGTGGCCATAGATTTGAAGCATCTTTTGCACTCCAGCCTTTTTTATTTGGAAAAAATTGTATTTAGAGAGATTTAATTTGGAGCTCCAAATTCCTTAGATCCACTGCCCATTAAAATGGACAGCACAGATTTGATTTTCTGGTGGCAAGAGATTCAGAGCACCTTCGGACCTCCAAAATCTATTTTATGAGGAGATTGTTGTTCGAGGGGAGGCTGATATGAAAACTTATTGCATCTTACCCACCTCAAAAGTGGCTTTTAAGGTGGGGAAAAAGGTCAAATAATCCTAGGGACACAAAGTCTTCTCAAATTTAAATTGATCCCCCAATGAAAACATATATAGACCCCAGATTAAATCCTACTTTACTCACAAGCAGTTCTGAATTCTGATTATTTCAGCATTACCAAAAGGTGCATAAAATTTAAGAATACTTTTCTGACTGGTCTCCATGGACTGAGGTACTCATAAGATTGCTTATCAGCAGTGAATTTGTTTTTTGGATATGTAACTGAGATAAGTAACAGTGGCTATACCCTTCATAAATGCTTTAATAACCTAGCATCTCATTCTTAAGCTTATGGATCAAACCTCTATATCAGCTCGACTTGGGTTTGAGACTTTTATACCTAGGGTAGCAAAGACAAAAGCTCGGTCTGTCCTTTTCAGGGATCACAGACTTGGGTCATAGAAGTGTGAATGGCGGCAGCGTAAATCCCCACACCTCATCAAAATCATATTTGCATACTCTCCCTAAAAAGAAAGAGCAGACCCGATCGAAGATGGGAACAAATTCTTGCATCAGAATTTCTGAACAATTTGCACATGAGATTTTCCTAGTTGCCAGGCAAGCGGCCGTAGCAAAACTGAAAAACAGATAATCATTTTCCATAAAAGAAGCTCTCCACTGTTCAGAAACTCAGCTCGGGCTTGGGTTCCGAACCCAGCCCTAGTCAAGTAACTTGGAAAGTCTGAGTTATGTTCTAGCACAAAAATTGCAAAATGAAACATAAAAAAAATTGCTAAAAATTAGAAAACAGTAAAAAGCAATATAAATGACGGAAAAAATTATATAGAAGATAGAATATGGAAATTTTTGGTTAAAAGCTTGAAAATTTCAGAAAATTAATAAAAGGGAAATTAGAAAAAGAAAATTACATAAATATCTGTTATACTTTGCGTTATTACAGATGTAACAAATAGCTTCCGTTATTACATGTATGTCCGTTTTTTACCTTTTAAAGCGTAATTTTTTTAAAAAACAACTTTACCCTTTTTCGGATGTTGAACACCCGAATTGGACGGTTTTTCGGATGTTCAACATCCGAAAATAGGCCGAAATATTGGAAGTCTTTGGAATTTCGCAGTCATTTTCAGATGATGAACATCCGAAAATATGACATTTTCGAATGTCCAACATCCGAAACCATTTTCGGATGTTCCACATTCGAAAATGTGATATTTTCGGATGTTGAAAATGTGACTGAGAAATTCCTGAAACCTTTTGCAGTCACATTTTTGGATGTTGAATATCCGAAAATGCGATATTTTCGGATGTTGAACGTCCAAAAAACCCTCCAATTCGGTTATTCAACATCCGAAAAAGGGCAAAGTCGTCTTTTTTAAAAAATTGCGTTATAAAAGGTAAAAAATGGACATACATGTAATAACGGAAACTATTTGGTACATCCTTAATAACGCAAAGTATAACGGATATGTATGTAATTTTTTCAATTAGAAATATAAAGCGTATAATAAGAAAAAATTACAATAGCTTCAAAAAGAAAAGAAAGAAAGAAAAATTTACAATGCATCATACAAAAAATATAGAAATATATGTATAAATCATTTACTAGCGATTTAGTAAAAAAAATTACATAGAAATAATATCATTTATAAACCTGAGTTTGTACACCAAAACTCTTGGCCAAGTCTTCGCACACTAAAGTTATCTCATTGTTTCTCACTTGGAAAATACGTCTGCAAGTTTTAGCAAAAAATAGAAGGATTCATCCTTTTCTAGATATCCCAACACACAAAGCACATCTAAAAAATTACAATTCCTTCCATGGCTGTCCAAAATTTGGACTGTATCTATTGAATCTTAAGACATTATTCCTTTAGGTACCTCTAAAGTGCATATGTTTTTGGTTTTTTGGAGGTTGATCACTAGGCTGAGGAGGATAGGGTTCCCCTGAGGAAGTAAATGCATGATAAAATCCTCCTTTGTTATATTTTTCTAAATATTGGTCATATGTGCTCATATAATTCAAAGTTCTTACTAGGGCATTTTGGAATTCTTGCCTTTGTAGACAAGATGTTCAAAGGAGAAAGAAATGGCACAGTGCAGATGCTGTGTTACAAGTGCTTGCAATTCGCACAATTTCAGCATTTATTTCATCTTGTAAGAATTTGCAAGATCCACTTGTTCAGGTACCCCTGTTTACTTCTCCACCCCAAAAAAGGAAAAGAGAGTAATCCTATTCAACTCTGTGACATGCTCTGAATAAATTAATTTTCTGGGAATTGATTTTTGTTGAAATTCAATATAGGAGTCCCCACTTATATTTGCCGGCAACCATTTCATTGTAGAATTATATCTTGATATACTTGCTAGGTTCCTTTCGTCAAATCCCCCATCATTCCAGTTCCAACAAGGTTTTTCTTTCTGCTTGCATCTCTAATGAGAATTTTGTGTGTTGTGTTTTGTGAAGTCATTAGAATATGTACTCATGTAATGGTAAGTTTGTCTTTAGCTCCTATTGACAATACTTGAGTGAATTGCTGAAATTGGAAACAAGCATTAGTCGTAATTGGTTGTTATAAGGATTGGCTTTTGGACGTTGGCATGGTGGAACATATACCATGAACCAATGGCCTATGGTATATATTTTTTCCAAATGTCCCACTTTGCATTTTGGAAAATCTGGAAAGGATGGCCACAGTGCAAAAGCGCCAAAAGAATTAGTTTTTGGTCTTCAAGCTAATACAATGACCAGAACTCTTGTGACAATTCCCTCTAGTCTTTTGGGATTTCTGAAAGTGAAAGATTTTACCTTTTTTTACATGGAAGTATGCTTAACATGATGAAAGGTTGGAAGTTTCTTGGAAAGTCATTTATCTTTTCCCATTTTATCCCTTTCTTTTGCTTTTTCTGTGGATTATCACCTAGACTAAAATTTTCTTGCAGAGTTCCATTTGTGACATTGTGAATGCTATGGAAGGAATTCTTCAGTCCGAACATGTGACAGTATTGATACCAGCTGCTGATGTTTCTAGAATGTTGACCCACTTTTTAGGTGATTCCCTATGTAAATATGGTGCTTCAATACTCATTGCCCCATTATCGAATTTGTTGACTTATCCAAGATCGGAGATAGCCATAGTTTGCGGAATCTCTTTGAATTGCATTTTGAAGAAACTAAAGTCTGTGAGTGTCTCAGATCAAGAAGAAATTTTGGGTGCTCTTAGGAAATCAAATGCGTTTGACAATATTGTGGCAATTTTAGAGGACGATGTTACATGTGAGGATAAACTTCTTGAGTACTACACTGAGATCACCATTCTCTTAAGCACAATTCTCTACTGGTTCCCTAATGCAAGATATGCTACTTGGAGTAATGTCAATGTGATATCATCACTAGGAGCTCTATGTAAAGTACCTAGAATTTCTCTAACAATGGCTGTTCTACATTCATATTCTGCATTAGGTATTCCCTATCTGAAAATTTATACAGAGTACTTATATTAGAAAATTGGGATAAGTTTGCACTGTTGAAATTGTCTTACCTTGACATGCAGCACTATGTGGTGATGTGGCATTGAAACTTCTTGAAAACGGTACAACTATTGTTCTTACTACACTCCACTTCATGGGAAGCTCACAACCTGATTCCACACGGATAGAAGCCTTCAGACTCTACCAAAATTTAACGGTAATTACCATTTTAGTGCCCTGAAAATCTATTGATCATAAAATTCCTCTCTTTTAAGTGGTAATGTCAAACCTGCTGGTAACATAGGACTTGTTTCTTGTGTATAGAGATCTGAGGGAGGTATCATAGTTACCAAGATTAACACTAAACCAATAGTAAAAAGTGTAATCCAGGCAATGAGTGAATGGCATGGGCAAGTAGAATATACTGGTAAGATTACAACTCAAAAAGCAACATTAGCACTTGAGGCGTGCCGTTCAGCCTTAATACTCCGTTGGCCAGGAGAGCATCATGAATATTTTTGGGACTTAGGGATTGATAAGGTCCTACTTCGACTCATAAATTTTTTGAAGGATGAGAAGTCCAAGTTCAGTCGTAATGATGGTGATTCAGAACGTTTGGTGTTTCTTATCTGGGAACTTCTTGGATGGCTTGCAACTCATTGTGAAGAAGATTTTGATCCTAGGAGCAGTAAGAATGGGATTGGGGGCCACCTAAGTGATCTCATTAAACTCACCTGGTAAGATATGTTATTTATTTCTCTCTTATAATGGCTTTATTTTTTGTGTATATTATTGAAAGACATCCTCCCTGCATATTGTTTTGGGCTTTGGCCTGATATGTTGTGTGAGGAAATTTGTCATAAGCTATTTCACCTTTATTTTATCGTTAAGTTTAAACTGAGAAAATAAACATTTCATGCTAATGCTTGTCCTTTTCAATAGCTTGGAAGCACTAGAATCTGTTCGCAGGCAATGCTCTCATGTAGAACCTTTAAATAGGGCTGTTTTGCTAATGGTATCTTCTCCCTGCAACTTTATTGTGGGCTGTGCAAGTGGTATTCTATTGGAATTTATGGAGAAACATAGCTTTGAGTGGTTGCGGCATCGATTGAATCGGTTGAATACACTAGCTACTCAGTCAAGCATTCCGATACCCTACATTCATGAGCTTATCGTCAATTTAACTTCTCTGGCTTTGTATTCTTCTTTTGAGAGGAGTAAAAGTTTCATACTTCAATATGAAGGGCCAAGGGTACTATCTTACTTTATCAGGATGCACTTAAGCAGTGGCAGGCAAGTATCGAGGTCAAGCATCTCCCCTCATCTCCTCAATGGTTTTAGCGGAAGTTTATGTTGTTGGGGCAACGTAGAAGAATGGGAAGGCAAAGATTTAATTTTGTTTCTCTCTCTGTGGGCTCTTTCACATCTCCTTCCACGTAGTGATTTTGTCAAGAATTTTAAAGAGGTCACAGAACAACATCAATCCAATGGTACAAATTTTGAAATATCAGAAGCCCATTCAGTGGTAGGCAGACTCCAAGTTATAACATCCGATGAGAGCTTTAGTCCTGGAGTTCGGTGGTATGCTGCATGTTGTATGAGCTGCTTTGGTTTGTATGGATTTCGTAGTGAACTGGGGAGAAGGTTGGGAAAAGCTCTAAAGGAGAATGAATTTACTGATGTGCAACTTGTATTTTCGAATGGAGACAATATACGAGTTCACGGAATTGTTCTTGCAGCTAGATGCCCATTTCTGCTTACTCCTATAGATTCTCATCCCAAGGAAGAGGCATCAAAAGAAGAGCATGGCATTGAGCAGCTTTGTGGAAAGTTCAATAAAGAAGTGCATTTCTCTGCCAATGTTGATAGTTATGCTATTGAAAAATTGGTAGAATTTGTTTACACTGGATTCTTAGAGATGCATCCTGATGATATGAAAAAGGTGAAGAGGCTCGCCAGAAAATGTAATATGCAAGATCTGAAAATCATTATTTCAGGAATACCGCCAAAATGGTGTAGTCCTATCCCGGCTTGTGACCTTAGTTCTGCTCTCACTGATAGGGATTTCTCGTAAGCTTTCTCATCTTATTAAAATTTGGAAAGTACTACATGATCCAATGGACTATGAAACAAGCGTAGTCCATTGGTTCTTACCATCCACTGAAATGGATGGAGTGAATATGACTAGGCCTCACCAAAACAAGATGTGGCCTCCACCACCATCACCTGTCATTATAAAAAATTGATGTTCCTGTGACTCTTTATTTGTTAGTTTATTTGGTTGTAATTTCTCTTTAAAGTTTTGTTAACTTGCAACCATGGCTACGGGTCCTGGTTTATGAAGAGAAAATTTTAATTTGATTAACTGGTCTATTCTTCTAACATAGGTGCTGGGGGCTCTTTTGTCTTGTTTTAAACTCTATCTTGATGTATTTTTTATTTGCAGTGATGCTACATTGGTGGCCACAGGAATGACAGAATCATGCAGTAGTTCTTATTCTGGTCCGTGTTCACATTCTATGCTACCTGTTCATGTTCATAGAATCATCTTATGGTGTAGTTCTGATTATCTTTGTGCCCTATTTCGGTCTGGAATGCGAGACAGGTATGCATTATTTTAGAGATACAATTCTTTCTCTGCTCCATATCTTCAGATTAATTTGATTGACGTATTGCTGCTTAAATTCCTTAGTCATCTACTAAGACATGGTGAAAATCCAGAAAGGAATAATGAAAAAGCACACTATATGCCTTCTTTTTTAACTTTTGAAACTTGTAACACATGCTCTCATTGTCATCTCCCCCCATCTGGACTTCTTTCTCTTCACTAGTTATTTACCTTATATTAGTTGTGGAATTTCTTTTTTTCTTTTCTGCTAATCGTATGTGAAATTTTTGTTTGTTTACAGTTGCTCACAGATTATCAATGTCCCAATTTGTTCCAAATCACTGGATAAACTAGTTAGTTGGTTTTACTCGGGTGTGATACCTGTACCTCGAGCTGGATGTTCTTGGGATAATATGAATCCGGAGCTACAATTTAGTGAGCTCCATGTGTTTGTAGAGCTCTTTGAGCTTGCTGAGATGTGGTTTCTTGAAGATTTAAAAGAAAAAAGCTTATGTGTGCTTAGATCACACATGAAGGGGAACTGGCGCTTGTGTGTCAATATCATTAAAATAGCAGCAGAACGATCTCAATGGCCAATAGTTGGACTTGCTGTTGATTACATTGCCCCAATGTATCCTTCGTTGCGTGACCAGGGTGAGCTGGAGGTCCTCAGTGACAAGCTGCAAAATACAATTGGGGCTGCCCATGCCCAGTTATCACTGGAACTTCGGTTAGGTCATGGTATAATTACTTGGCCGCATGGAAGTCGTCAACTCATTGATAGCTGGCGTTGATACACAGGTTGACATCCATAGATGACCTGTGATATTTCCATTTACTACTGAAGGTATCTCTTTCTTTTACGGTCAGTGTGCTATAATCAAGTAGACTAGAGAAACCATAGATCACATTGTCCATCAGTGGAATGAGAGAGTGGGACCCGACCATTGTGCATCATTCCAATGGATAGTAATGTTGGAGTGGATGATGATTCTCTCATTGCCCATTGGCTTTTAGTATAGTTTTCCTTTCTTCTGTTGTATGAGGGATCTATCAATCTATAATGGACTACATAGATTTTAAAGCTTTGGTTATTCGTTTGTACTTAGGAGCTTAAATTATGTGGGGCCTTGCTGATGTTCCTGAAATGTATGTATTATAGAACCCAAGAAAAAAACAAAATCCTATGGTTAAATATTCTCTTTAATATGATGGAACTTTTTTCAATTTCAAAGGATGTTGTCTGACCCGGTGCTTATAAATTTTACTTGAGGTGTCTCTGAGATTCTTGCTCTGAATTTTAAATATCTAATTATCACAAGTGGATTTCAAGTTTGTTGGGTTTGATTTTGCATTGTTAACTAGATAAACTAGATGCTCTAAACTTGAAATGCTAACTTGTGTGGATTAATGCAGATTCTTTTCTCATCGGTATCAAATAACTTTCATGCTCCAATCAATATGGTAACTGAAGCGCCATTGATGATTGTCGATGATTTTTTGTATACAAGTGTGGATCTCACGTCCTGTGAGTCAAATCATATTTGAAAGTGAAATTCAGCAAAATAAAGGCAGCAGTATGGTGATTGGAGCAGAGATATATGCAGGCAAGCTTATGGCATGGGATTATGAGGGAAAAGCGCTTTGGGTCAAGATTGTGCAGGTAAATTGCAGATGGGGTAAACTATAACTATGCATTTCACTTTTAACTCCCCAAATATGTCCATATCTACGTGTGTGTGTGTGCGCGTGCATCTGTCCGTGCGTCCATCCGTGCGTGCTTGCATGCGTGTGTGTGTGCGCGTGTGTGTGCATGCGTGCGCATGTACATGCGTGAAATTGTCTTACGGTTTGAAGGAATATTTCAGAATCAAGTCTAACCAAAGGATCAATTAGATTAGGTTGAAATGCTTGAACAGGCTTAACTTTTGGGTTAATAACACCAACTACAACAACAACAAACAAAAACAACAACAATAACAACAACAACAATAATTTTGAGATATGGTGACGATGATAATGGAGTTTATCAAACTACACTTAAAAATATTAACTATTTTAACTGATGATTATGTTTCTTTGATGAAATTTTTGAAATGGGAGCAAAAGAGACGGGTACTTCATCTCCTGGGTAGTTGTATATAAAGTTCCAATATAATAATAGTAGTAGTATTAGTAATGGTCGTGGGTTCGAATCCCAGTTTCATGATGGCCGAGTTGGTCTAAGGTGCCAATTTCAGGTATTGGTCCAAAAGTTCATGAGTTCAAATCCCATTCTTGGCATTATAGTGGCTTCAATAGACGATAAGATGATGGAAAGTAGACATAGGTTGGCTGGTTATGTACATGACCCAATACATCATTTGTTAGGAGGTGCAATTTAGTTCAAGTGAAAGGCTCTAAAAGGGCAAGAAAAAGGCCAAAAGGATATGGATGGAAGTATTGAAAAAAAGATATGGGGACTTATGGTCTTACTGAGGGTATGACCCTTCATAGATCAGAATGACAGAATAGGATTCATCAGTGTTTCAAAAAGCACTAGGCGGCACTGAGGTGGCCATGGGGGTCCAAGCTGCCCAGCGCCTAGGCGGGCGCCCAAAACCTGGGCGGCCCCTTTAAAAATAAAGAAAAAAAGTGATGACTAATAATGATTAATCCATAAGAATTTTGATAATCCATAAGACCATGATCCAAGTTAAAAAAAAGAAGATAGAAGTCGGGAAGAGAATTTTGAATTTTTGATAATCCATATTTTCATACAATGCTAAAACAGTAAAACCATACAAGCATGCATTGATAGTCTGATACACTATAGACTCGTACACGCAAAAATTAGATAGTCGAACTAGAAACTTGAAAGTAGAAACGAAAAATAAGAAAGAGAAACTATGCAAAAATTTAGAAAATATACAGTCTATGAGACTATAACACATTTGTTAACAGTCAACACTCAACATAACAGTTAACATTCAACACCAAGAGCTTTCAGTCATCATCGTCATCAAAAGGAATATGGTAAGCTTCATAATATGCATCAGAATCGAGGCCATCATCATCAGAGTCATCTCTCTCTTCAATATAACGCTCGCCCTCCTCTGTTTCTTTTGAATCTGCCTCTTCCTCCTCCTCGTCTTCTATCTCCTTTTTACTAGTATGTGCAGATGAGGCCTTAGGTGCCTTGGCTGAACATTGTATAATTTCCTCCCTGGTAGCGTTATGAATATTTTTACATGGGATAACAACCCCTTTAATACCGGCAATGTGGTTTTTAAACCGGTAAATGTCCCCATTAGTATCATTTCCACAATAATTACATTTAATACGATTTTTGTCATTTAGATTTGGGTTATAACCATACTTCCAACCGAGATCGCCACTTCTAGAAGAACCTAGAAAAGATATTCCATAGAACAAGGCTCATTTTCATCATTTTTTGGTTCTTTAAAATTTAGAAATTGTCTAATCGCATCCCAAATAACTTCAGGAACCTTTTTACGAGAAGCAACATTCCTTTTAATACCAATTAAGTGTTTCTTGAATCGGTTAATACCCCAATTGGTATCTTTTTCACAAAAATTACACCGTATACAATTTTTATCATTTGGTTTTGGGTTATAACGATACTTCCAACTCGGATCACTTCTTCTAGAAGTAGCAGAAATATATTTATTAAAATGACAAGGATTTTGTTCCTGATTTTGTTTTACAAAATTCATATACCGAGAAGATGTTTTTTAAACCGATTTATGCCCATTTTTGTATCTTTTTCGATTCGGGTTATATCCATAGTTCCAACCTAGGTCTCCATTTCGACTAGATCTTGAAGAAGACATCTCAAAATAAAACAAGCAATCTAAAAAATAAAGTTTTGCAACTTACTTTGATTGTTGGAACTCCAAACTCCCACCTTTGAGATGTTTTATGGTGTTAAAATAATAAAAAACACACTCTAATAGGATTATAAAACTCCATAATTAAATCAAATCTACCTGGATGATGTTTGGATCCATTTTTGTAACTTTGAGAAACACTTTGATCCAATGAAAGTCAGAAAATGATGTTTTCTTGAGGTTTCTTTCTCTCTAAAATGGGTTTGTGTGGGTTTAGGTTTCAAATGAACTTAAAACCCATCATTTCAAACCTTTTATATATTTGAAACCTAAACCCATCCTTTGAAACCCTTTATATTTAAAAAAATCAATAGAAACGAAACAAAAAAAAGAAGTTCCGCCTATGGACGGGGCGTAGGCCCTTGGATTACCTCGTGTATATTCTTTCGTAGTTGTTGAAATTATCAAGTGCTTGTGATTGTTATGTTTGTGGTTACCAGTAGTTTTTTATATGTCAATTTTGTTGAGTTATTTTGTATAAATTTACCAGAGCAATGTGTGCATCCGTCATCACCTGCAACTCTCTGCTCCCCGAGAGCCAAGGGATAAAATCATTTCCATGTGTACAGATTCCTTTGAGGCTTTCATTTTTCAGGGATGTGTTCATTCTTTTGGTGATTGCCAAGATAAATGATTCAGATAAATGATTCTTTTTTTCTGCTACAGTGTGAGCACTTTCTCATGTTGCATTAAGGATGGAAAGTTGTGGTTGGGGAGTTATATTCCATTTCCACTGTCTGTTATTAGAATAAATGGTGAATTCCCTGCATGAGTATCTTTCATTGAACATATTATGTGCATCTTATAACACCAGAGAGTTTGTTTTGGACAAGCTCTTTATGTTTTTCTACACGTAATTGACGTTTCTCTAGACACCCTTCTGATCTTATTGAACAGCAAGATTGGAAGGTTAGGAGCAAATTAACAACAATATTATACATTAATTATGTCTTAACAAAAATAGTTGTCGTCAATTAGTGATATTGTTTTCAACTCACTTCCAACTATCTGGGTTAGGTCTTTCGTCTTTGGTGGTCATGTGCCTGAATGCTTGCTAGTGAAAAAACCCTAGATATCCCAAGAATTTCTATGGTAATTGAAGAATGAGAACATCACTTGCAATAGTGATAATTATGTTGCAAGAAATATTTGCAAGCGTGTGTACTATATTCCCTTTAATGCAGAATTTGTATTTACTCCCCTGGGAAAATGACCTATTTAGGATTTTCTTGATTTGGAATTTGGTTAATTAACTTAAAGATACTATATTTGTTAGAATTAAAAAAGAATTCAAACATTTCCATATTTAAAGCTGGTTCCTTTTTTTTGTTAGTCTGTTATTTTTGCTCAAGGACTCATTTGTCAACCTTAAAAGTGTTTTATGGGAAGTAATTATGTCACTTGAAGTGTCACACTAATTTCTTTATAATACATCGGTCTATCAATTTTTCGATTATTGAAGTACATGTCTGATGTTGACACCACATAAACCCCCTAGCCTTGTGCTTGTAGTAAGAAGTCGGTTTGGGACTTCTCCGAGGGCCTGTTTGATAACTTGAAAGAAATTCATGAACTGTAAATTGGAAGTTCTTAAGTTCTGTGAACTTAAGAAGTTCTTGGTTTTTGTGTTTGATAACCCTCTGGGAAGTTAAGAAGTTCATGGTTTCTGTGTTTGATAACCTCTTGGGAAGTTAAGAAGTTCCTGGTTTCTGTGTTTGATAACCTCCTGAGAAGTTGAAGAATTGAGTATCTGTATTGGATTAGAGAAAAGACGGGTTTTCATCCCATTGGCAAGAGTTATATTTTTCATATGTCCACCACTACCACATGATAAAAATGCATTTTGGCTTTCAAACCGGCCTATAGTCCTTACCGAAAGAAACATCATGGGGGCAGATATCATCTTGAAGTTTCTCAAAATCAGTGGCAGTCATGTATTTTTTATTAAGTGTATATCATTTTGAAGTTTCCTAAATCAGTGGCAGTCATGTAAATTATATAGAATAGGTTTTATTTTATGTTTATTTGTTTGCAAAGAACAGGTGCACATAATTTCCATCCATAGACTTCTACAGCAATAACATGTCATATGCAGCCAAAATTAAAGCAGTCTATAGATTATGTTCCATGATAAACTTCCACGCAAATTAAAGCAGTCTGTCATTGTACATTAAAATTAAAGCAGTCTATAGACAATGTCAAACAATAAGAAATCAACCCATTCAATAATAACTTGAGTACTACTTATATTCAGTACTGATGCATCTGTATCAAGCAACATTCACAATTCATGCATCTATAAAAAAAACCATGTACAAAACCAGCTCATTCAATAATAACCTGTAATAGTTTAAACATACATAATTCAAAATGCAATAGAGTGACCATAACATAAAAAGTTCATATGAAATGCAGAACAATGTTTAATTACAAGTGCTAGCGACTTAGGTAGGCCTCCCACAACTGCGTCGCTATGGCATCTCGCAGATTGACATCACGTCATGATCAACCAATTCAGACACACATGCACAATGCAAGCAGTAAGTGTCACGACCCCGTTCCCTGACCCCCGCTGTCTTATACCGGAGGATGACAGAGCATGGGATCGCGAACGTCACTCAGGTGGGAGTGGCTCAACGCATAATAAATTTGGAATCAAAGCAAACCACGAAATAAAGCAAAACTCATACAAACAATAACAAAAACTGAGCAATTAAAACCCTTTATATATACATTCAGTCTCCAAAATTCTGTTACAATAAGTTCAAGGAACTACCGGCTTGATTACAAAATTCCAAAATTATTCAAAATAGAGTATAACACATCCATCAGGCACCTACTGTCAAAAGAGTCACTAGCCAAAGCTTTAAACTTTGGAACGCCTGCCACCGCCGTTCAGCTGTCCTCCCAAGGATATTAGGTCTTACTATACACAATGGGGAAAAAGAGGGGTATGAGCTAAAGGCTCAGTAAGTAGGTCAGTGACCTTGCATTCCAACGTATTTGCACACATACAGGATAGCAGATTCACCACTATTACAGTTCATACAGTATCACAGACTAAAGTCAGACATCAATGTATACAGACATAATGAACAGAATTAATGTTCAGATCTTAGGACTTTCGATGTTCCATGAGTCAATAGTTACACAAATACTTATCACAATCATACAGTCAGAAGCTCAGCTAGAGCATGCAGTTCATTCAAACAGAAACAAAAAGTGCTTACTTTGAAGTAGAAGTTACATCGATCAGGTTAAGGCAGTCCTGTAACTTGGAACTACCAATGGATGACCCATTTCGTAATGGTCAGAATGATAAGCATCAGAATCATATAACAGAAATGCAGTATCCACTACCAATAGAGGATCCATTACGTAGTGCCTAGAATCATAAGCATCATAATCAAATAACAGAAATACAGTATCCACTACCAATGGAGGACCCATTGCGTAGTGCCCAGAATCATAAGCATCAGAATCAAATAACAGAAATGCAGTATCCACTATCAATGGAGGATCCATTATGTAGTGCTTAGAATCATAAGCATCATAATCAAATAACATAAATACAGTATCCACTACCCATGGATGACCCATTGCGTAGTGCTCAGAATCATAAGCATTAGAATTAGATAACAGAAATGCAGTATCCACTACCAATGGAGGACCCATTGCGTAGTGCCCAGAATCATAAGCATCGGTATCATAAATAGAATCAGATAACAGAATCAGACAGTATTAGTATCACATGAGGACAGTTCCTGCAATTTTAGGCAGTGACATCCTATAAAAAACAGGGTCATAACTCTCAATTTGTTTAGAATTTAAAGATAGTTTCAAAACCAATTTTATGCTAGACATAGCTGTCTTTCAAATAAGGGTGGTTTGAGAGTAATTGGACCTTATTTGGCCCCTCAAAAAACAAAAGAACAGTGACACTTCATCTGAAAACTGTTGTGTAGTAAAGACGATGACATATCTTTGAAATTTTGTCCATAACTCGAAATCAAAAAAGAATTTCCAAAAGTGCTAAACGTGTGAGTTCAAGCTAACTTATAGAATTTTCAAATGGTAGTGGTTTGGACGAAAATGGGTTCCATTTGATCATTAAAAACTTGTGGCAACAGATGCGAAAATTCTGAGTTTCTGTGAAATCTGTCAACAGTGACATATCCACACTTTTTAGAATATAAATCTCCAATTATGCAGAATTTGGACAAGACTAAAACATGAAAATTGTAGTACGCTCGTGTATCTTTCAAATGGCTGTAATTTCAAGTTTTTTGGACTTCATTTGGCCAAACAAAACTTCAGTGCAACAAGAGTGATATTTATGGAAATTGGTAGGATTTGTCAACAATGACAGGTGCATAAAATGAAGCACAACTTTCAAATTCTTCAGAATTTCAGCTAGGCCCAAACATGAAGATTAAAATAGACTCAGAGACCTTTCCAATGGTGGCAATTTGAGGCAATTCCGACAGCATTTGAAGGGTCAAACATGTATTACAAAATTATGCACAGTCCCTGGATTTTCATGTCACAGTCATAACATGCTTTAAAGATTTGTTCATAGCTTCAAATTTTCATTAGCAATCAACATGAACGCTTTAACACATAATAGATACATATGCCCCATTGATTCACAAGCTTTTCCCCAATAAAATTGGAGGGTTTCATTATTCATCTCATCATACAAAGGCAAGCCATTGTTGCTCGAAAAATCATAACAAAACAGTCACAATGTCATTTATCATGATAATCGATTTGCCCTTTAACTCATGCCAAATCTTGTCATAAACTTCTCTCCATTTTCATTAGATACATATAGGCACACGATCACAGATTTTTTTATTAAAATCAGGAAGATTTGGGGCTTACTCAGGTCATGCCAAGACAAGCTATGTTGCTGGAAAATCACAATGCAACAGTGTGCATAAGCTCTCATTACACATGGTCATTTTATGTGTAAGACAGTCTAAAGAATTCGCCGACCCCAAATATTTGGGAAAAGGCTCTCATGATGATGTTGAGTACAGTATCACGAGTAACAACTAAAAAGAGTTCGAGATGAAATTTCAGAATTTTTTTTCATAGTTCTGGTAAGTCTAGAATTCAATATTAAATTATGACTGAAATTGAATCAAATTCCTTCTAAGATAAACAAAACACTCAATTTCAGTATGAGAAATTATAATGTAATAATGAAGAATCAGTGTAAAACCACTAGAATCATGGATTAAACATGAGTATATGAAACTAAGAACTAATATCACAACCAGGAGAGCTTTTCTACCACAAAAAGAGGAAAAAAAAAAGAAGTAGAAATATAATATAAGCAGAGAAACAAGCTGAAATTTCACGTAATGACTCGAACATACCCATAAAACCCTAGATATTTCCAATGTTTAAACTCAGATAAAAGCTTAAAAATCAATTAATTGATCAGAGAGAATCTCATAAAGCCCTAAAAATGGTTAGGGAGAAGCCCTAGAATTAGTTTTGGTTTTCATGTTCAGATCTAGGAGATCCGAGCTCAATCCAAGTTTTTGAGAGATGAAATTTACAGGTGTAGGCTCTTTGGTACCGGTTAAAATTATAATTTTGTAAAAAAAACGCACTTCCATTTTAGCCCTTTTTTTTTTTGTTAAAAAGGAAACGAGAAGGGAGCTGTAAAAATAATTCTCAATTTCCCATTCTCACAAAATTCAAAAGAAACAGGTA